GCGGGCACCGCTCTCGGCGGAGGAACCCTGGAGAGCCCCGGCTCCTGGGCCACCCTCTTCTACATGTGCGTAACGCTAGGTGCTCTGGCAACACAGAGGTACCGTGGCTTTGGGGTTCCCAAATGCAGGTGGGAACTAGCTGCTTGCAGCTGGTCCATCAGAATAGATATTTTTTAAAAACACCATATATATGTATTTATTTTGTAATGGCTTAATGACTGCTCAAAAATCCCACACTTTGGGTCTCGCTGTGCAAGCTCATACACTCTAGCCTCCTGCTAAATAGGCATGACAAGCTACAGTCAGCTAGAAACAGAAAAAAAAAATGGTAGGAAAAACTTAAAAACCGTTAAGAGAACATGCATTAATCATCACGGTGGCAGCTAGCTCCAGATGCATGATCAACAAGGAGGACTTTTATGTGTATCCGGGTGCATGTACACATACACACACAAAAAAAACCCACCAACAAAAAATACCCCTCAGAGAGGGATCTCTCCCGAAAAAGAAAAGTGTATTCAGGTCTGAATTTCAGGCGTCCACAAAGACTTTGTCAAGTTAATTAGATTGTCTTTTAAGTTACATCCCCTTCCAACTGTGAACATGGTCTCTGAGCGGAGGGGTTTTATCGCACTACAAAAGTCCCATTCTGCCCTTTCGTTTTCTCTCATGCTGCTCACAACAGTTTCCACGGCTCGAAATATAAAGGTGCTTAGTTACACTTATTCACACTTCGCTTTTTCTCTCCGTCCAAGGATTAATCTATGCTGCTTAAAAAAGGCTCAGTGGCAAAGGCCAAAGGCAACAGCAAATATCAATTCCACAGAAAGTTTTTTCTTCTTTTTTTTTTTTTATCCTTTTTAAGAAAGGAGGTGATCTGTTTCATCTACAATCATAGACAAATGCTGTTGAGACAGGAACACAGTCAGTGCAATTCTTTAAAATCTTTACCTTCCTACCGTAGGTCCCTTTCTTCAGCACTACATAACTTCCTTTAACCCGTTATAGTCTTCTTTTTGTTGGAAACTCTTTGAAATGTTTTTCAGAAGCAAAGAAAAGGCACTTTTTTTTTTTTTTTACAGAAGCCTCGTTTCTTTCTGCTGTGATTGCAAACACTCAGCCTACCCGCTTTACTGTAAAAGCTAATGAAAGACCATACACCAGCGTTTCTGTGCATGCATGTCTGACGGGTTTAACTTCCTTTTCTGATAGATACTGAAAAATAAAGAAGATAAGAAAATGACTTGCCTTCAGTACCTTGGGCTAGGAAAACACATTCCCATTCATTCCCCTACAAAACACACTACGTGTGCACAAATGGTGTGAACATGGCACTCCTAAGTCAGGAATGAGTATTTAGTCTTGATCGGAGGAGGAGGGAGAGTGCTACCAGCACTGCCTTTGCAAACTTCCTGCTGCAAGATTAATGGGGTTTGATATTATTATGGTTATTTGTTCGAAAGAAAACACCGCTTTGGCCATCAGCAGCCAGCTGACCGTCAGCTGGGGTAACCCAGACTCCTCTCTGAGCCACTGTACCTGTAAGTGACGTTCCCCCTCCTTCTGGTGACCCTACCTGTTGGCTCTGTTCATTGGTATCAGACCAGCCACAGCGGCAATCCAGCCATCAAATTGCGTACCCTCAGGAGCGTGACATTAGACCGTTGATTCCTCTAGGAATGGGTCTGTCTTTTAAGGGTTTTCTGAAACATTTGTGTGTTTTGGCTCACCAAAGTGCTGTTTGTCTCAGTGCAGAGGGTGAGGAGAAAAGTAAGGCAATGGTGCCAGACGAGAATGGAAAGTGAAATGTGGCTCACACTCGGAGATATGGTAGTTTTTCATGGTGACAGAAGACTACATTTATAAAAAAAAAAACAAAAACACCAAAGCTCCAGATGATTTTTATACTGCCTTAGGTAAACAACACTACCAGCAAAGTGAACCTGTTCATGAAGTCACCCATTAAGAAATACCCAAAATAAACAAAAAACAAACAAATGGAGAAAAAAAAAGAGATGTAGTTCTTTCATGTAACATTTTGGAAGGCATATTTTTGATATCGCTCTGTTTGTAATCTGGTTACCAGAGTCAGCGATGGTTACAGTGCTTCCCTATTTGTTTCAGTAACACAACCTAGAACTCTTGCTATATGCAATAATATGAACCGTAAATGTGATTTATTTAATTTTAAGAATCAATATATAAGGCAGTTCCTTCCAACGCTTGATCAACTACTATGATTAAATGTAAAGCTTAACAAAGTACCACATTCCCATTATCCGATTCACAAAGACAGATTTGGTTTAAAAATATGCCTGAAACATATTACAGATAATATCCCAGATGATTATTATGTAAACATTGTTATTACAATGAAATTAATTTGATATGAGCTTCATTTCACATTTTTAACGTCAACGCTGTAACACAGAGGCCTATTTAATCTGTCCAGTATTTGTGCAGGGTTTTAAATGAAGCATACAAAATCTACAATGTTCTACCTTCTTGTCATGAGGATCCATCTGTTTCCAATTATTGGCCTTTAACTGATGAAGTTCATCAAATTTCATACTAATGTTTTCTATGGACAACTGCAGCATATCCCAAAACCCTGCTAAATCCTGGGAGGTCGGCCGTGGATGTGCATTAGGATTCTGTGCAACAGAAGAAAAAAAAACACACGTTGGCTTTAGTACTCCTTAATGTAAAGCATTTGCGCAAACGAATCTTGCTGGCAAAGCAGTTTCAGCAGATCCAAGCGATCGGTGAGGCACGGAGAGAGAAACAAAGCGGAGCGCTACTTACTGGCGGGGGTTTTTTGCAAGCCGCTGGGCCCCCACACGTCCCCGCTCACTGAAGGCAGTGGCTACCCGCCACGCACCATGGGCCGAGGGCAGATGGCAGGTCCCCTGTGGCAGGATCTGCCTAGGGATGTTCCTGGGCACAACCAGTGATATCCTAACTGTGTCGCAATCAATTGCCAGCCTCCTCTTCGCTTTCATGAGGAAGGATTCCCTGCCATGTTTACACTTGCAGAAAAAAATGATACCTGTGTAAACGCACGCTTGCTGCGCGTGCACATGGCGGTACGCTGATATGCGGATGCTTTTTCTGCGCTCTGAGAAGCTAAGGGCTACAGAAATACAGCATTTCAAGTAAAATAGCCTCTTACACATCTCAGGCAAATTTCTCATGTTTGGTGGTGTTTTTTTTTAACAAGAACAACCTTGGCAGAGTGAAAGGCTCAGAAGAGAACGTGCAGAAGCACAATAATCCCATTTTCCCTGGCACATTTTTGAGAAGAGTGGGACAGGGGCATATATGGGGAATGTTGCTTTGCATGTGCAAACTCAGTCCGTTTCCTCATCCCCAGAAGTGCACACCAAGACCATTAGCATCTCTAGCATGGCTTGGGCCAGAGGCTGGTGACCTGAGAGGTGACCTGTTCCCTCCTGTGTCCCTTCAGTGCAATCCAGCTCTGAACGCTTTCTGCATGCACAGGACATACACACATACTTTGCTGCCCTGGCAAAGTATGAGGGAAAGATTTCTACAGGAGATGTATCTGTATGCTGGGCCCCAGTTGAAATGCTTCCAAGGAAATGAGGTGTTGTGTACGCTCACTTCAAGCTTTCTTGTAAATGCTGAGCGATCCCTACACCAGCCTGAGTCAGCAAGGTTTTGTGGGTGCTGTGGCCTTATAAGATTACATTGATATATTTCTACAAATAAATAAACAAGCAAACAAATAAATAATTATTAGAATTTTGCATGCTGTTTTACATGACTCAGGTTTTAATCTGCATTTCAGTTTTCGCCCTCATCAGAACCAAGAAACCCAGTTTATTGCTTGCCTTACTTGTCAGTTGCTTGCCTATTTGTGCTTTTCACAGCAACACTGATGAATGATTTTTGTAGGATGAGTATAACACCAACAGAGTAATTACTGAAAACAATGTATTTTTAGATTCATAAGGAGACCAGAGATTATACTTGGATTCCCAATTTTTCATTGCTCGACACTAGCAGGTTGCCCAGTTGTAGGCTTTCATTTACGAAGACGCACAACTGGAACGCTTTTTGAATTTTTGGTTTAAGAACCAGAAAGCTTATTCAGGCAGAGGAAATTTCTGTTGCATTTGTCCACTTAGGCAGATTTTAGTTTGGGGCTTGATTTCCAGAGGTGCTTTGACTAAGGTGGAAGATGGTGACTTCACCCTGGTGATTATCGCAGGGCCTGCCTTCCCTTCCTTATTCTGTGCTGACAGAGCCTAACGCTCTGTGCTTTCTGGGCTTCGAGAAATTTATGCCAAAATTGGGAATTAAATGCACTGTATCTACTACACAAGGGTGGATTGTTAATAAAAAGCTTCAAAATTTTTCTAAGTGCCGGCATTTTTGAGAACACTGCTTTTGATGCAGAGTGTGTATTCTTATTTATCAACAAGAATATCACTCTGATTCTACTACTACTAACAGCATAAACCCAGCAAATAATAATAATTGTGGTAGCATATACCAATTACATACAGTAATAGTAACAATAACATATTGGCTCCTTTCCTCTTTATTCTTCTAGCACTCTGGAATATTATTTTTCTCTCTTTCACTATTGGGGTGTAGAACATGAAGCACCAACTTTCAGTGTCTGATTTCCTGGTACTTCTGTCTTGTTTAAAACAGGTGTTATTGGAATTACATGGGAAAGCCCCACTCATGAGACTTCTGGCCCACCTTGAAAGACCTTCAGGTCTTTTACCCACATCTCTCTCTACCCATGCAAACTGAACTCAGAGGTCAAGGGACAGATCCTTGCTCCTCTGAAGTCAGTAGCAGAGCCTCAGTGATATTTCATCAGATAGGCTTTTTGCCTGTTATTGTTTTAAGGTGCTCAAGTAATTGTGAAACTCATGCTGACTCTGCCAAGTTTCATAGAGTTACTCCCAAGTGCATGTCAAGGCCTTTAATGGACAATCTACCACGTTAGTCACAAATTCTGTCTCGTGTAGGTAGGATTATTCATCGGGTTAGTAAAAGGCACATAGCAATGTTTAGCAGAAAAGTTACATACCAGGTTTTCTTCGCAGAGTTCTCTGAACTGGTAAAATTTCTGGGCCATGAGAAGCTGGGCACTGCCCACTGCAGTTCGAATTTTCCCTAGAACTGAGAGAAAAAGAAACATAAGTCACGATGTTTTCTTTGCTGCGGGCAACTAAATGTCTATAAAAAGAGAGGAGAAAGCTGAGCAATAGTCAGCTCCGGCTTTCAAAAAGCATGTTATCTCTCAGTCACGGATTAGAGAAAAGTGAATGAACCTAAGGCCAGATCTGCACTGGGCAAAAATACTCATCTGTTGCTGTATGTTACTCTCATTCCCCAGGGAAGACCAGTTGTAACCAGCACTTCCATAACAGTATAAATACGGCTGATCGAAAGTTTTGCAACCTGTATGGAAAGCTCACCAGAACTTACACCTCTGGTCACTCCTGTGACCCAGGCTCCGGCTTTGAACACAAACCCAGCTCCCCCTGTGAGGACAAGTGGCTTTCAAACCCTGAGATGCCACCTTTACTGTTTGGAAACCACTGCATCTACCAGCATTTCTGTCACCTCGCTTAGCAACGCGGCACCTCAGTCCCAGGTTCAGCTAAGCGTTGCTCGGTCTGAGCCCCAGAGAAGGAATAGTGATTTCCATACACACCCGTGACTCTCATTCGGACCCTCTGAGTATTTTCCATGAGCACAGTCTGAAGCAGCTTGTGCCTTTGAATCGGGATGCCCTGGCCTACTTCAGGGAGCACTCACGCCCTGTCCTCTCCTCCGTGCTGGTGACGTGGAGGGAGGTGTCAGGGTCCTAGCCCAGCTCCTGTGCTGCCTGGAGACCCTTCTATACAGACAGCTGGGTACTTACTCGGTCTCTGTGGACTGACCGAGTGCTGTGCAGGACTGCAGTGAAGCAGAAGACAGCCCATAGTAAAAGCCTCTGAATAAAACAGGAGCTCACGCTGTTTTGGTTGCATTCAACCTCACTGAAACTGTGGGGTTTTACTGCTGCAAGGGGTAGTTGGGAACGCACTACCCAAACCTGGGGCATACACCGGTGCATTCAGAAATCTCCATTTCCCTGGGGATTTACTGTGTTCTGGTCCAGGGGCAGTGTGTGTACGCGTGCGTATGTGAAAAAAGAAGCAAGCACGCAGAAACAGGACAGACAGACATGGCCTCAACTAGCATGAAGACAGTGAATTCAGAAAAGAGAGTATGATTTTGGGGACTGCTGATTGAAAGGAAATCGATGCTGTGAGCAAGAAAACAGCTACCAGTTTGTTTGGGAGTTTCAATGCTCAGGGGAAAAAAAACAACTATGCTATGTGCACTGTCTTCAAATAAACAGGTTGGCATCACAGATGTATCTGGCTCCATCATTAATTTTCCTTCTCAGCTGAAGCTGCTTATTATCCCCTAATTCTGTGGTTAAATATTGATTTAAAACTGACTTTAAATTAATAGAAAAAATATTATCACTTCATTAATGAAAACTATGAATGGCAGCCACTTTGTCACAATTTTCACTGTCACAGATATTTGTGTTGTCCCATTCCTCAAATAAACACAACAACCCTTCCATGACGAATTTACATCCTGTATACACAAGGCAGGTGACGGAGGAACAGGAAAAACAAAGAGATGAAGTGGTCTGCTCGAGGTGAGTGAATCATCGGCAGAACCTAGACTACAGCCATCCTCCGTACCATCCCTTGGGCACAGTCACTTTCTGTATAAAACCTCATACAGCATCAGCAGTGTTCCACTGGGAAAATGCTGCTAAGATTTTTGACTTACCACACTGAAAAAGAAATAAAAAACTAACTAACTAACTAACTGAAGCTTTGCTATAACCCCTTCTGATGACATTTTTAGGGTCTCCTGTGACTGGCCTCAGTGCCTGTTGGCAGCTTGCGACCAGGACGTCACCGTACAATGTTCGGTGAGAGAAAGGCCTCTCCGTGGGATTCACTGGCATAGCCGCACGCTAAGCAAACTGGCGAAAACACTCACGATGAACTGAAACCAGACACGCAGTAGCACAAAATCTGTGTTCTGCTCCTCCAAGGCGAATAGTGTTGCCTTCAGCAGCCTTAAAGCTCGCTTCTTAGGGCTGCTGAAGGAAAAGTGGGATGTGGAGTTCATTTATACTTCAGACACACAAAGGGGGGGTGGGGAGGGAAAGGGGAGGGGAGACAGAGTCTTTCCACATTTTTTTTTTCCCCTGAAACTACAGGAGAGAGGTCTGTGAACACACACAGAGCCCAGACTTTCATTTTGTTCCCAGAACTCAGCTCAGCACTGCCAGGAAATAGCCGTGAGCTGGAAGATTCACTAGGCGGAATATTTTCAGCATATTGCGCAGGGAGTTTTGCACACAACTCTCATTATTGTTAGCAAGGCTTGCGTGTCTAATCCTGTGCGCACAGCGCTGAAAATGGACCCCTTGGTGTGTCTAGTCATTTATGCAACCCAATATGCAAACCACTCAACTGAAAGGACTTTTCAATAGTGGGAGGAGCTACTCCGGGAGCTTTCATGTGGTTCCCATTGTTATGAAAACTCTTCCCACTGAGTGTATTTGGGAACAGCTGCCTCATCTGGAGCTCGGCCACTCTGACGCTTCCCAAGACATGAGAAGGGGAGAAAAAACATTCTCTCCACTCCTCGGGACAAAAAAAAAAAAGAGACGGGATGAGCTCTTCCTGGAAACCTACACCACCCAAGCTGGAAATCACGTCCCAAGCACCAAGAAATGTAAATACACCTTGCTGGTGATGGATGGGAATGTGCCCCTTTCTTTGAGGGAAGAAGAGCTTAATATTCAGAGATGTCAGCAGAGGGAAAAGGAAGTCCTTGTCCTTGGCTGCCTAGCGACTGGCTATTTGCCTAAAAACCATCATCCCAGCTGACTGTGGGATGCATGCTGATGCTGTTCCCTATTGTTGCCACTTCTGCTGTAGCTGAGGCTGTATCTAGTCAAGTGTCACTGATTCCTCGCTCCTCAAAAGCAAGCGGCCTGTTAATGTGCAACCCGTCAGCAACCAACTCTGTCACGGAAGTTGGGGGTTGGGGAAAAAAAAAGACAAAGCACGGGAAAGACTGAAAGGAATCCCTCCAGAAGGCACAAAGCTTTATCAATAGCCCAAGTTTTGTTTCCAAACCCACGTTCCTTTGAGTGTTTCAAGGCAGAGTGCTCGTTTCGCTTACTCAGTCAAAACCTCTGCTGCCAAAGAGAAAGGCCAACGTGTAGTAAAATAACGAAGAGTAAAAATAGACCAATATTTTACTTAGGAGAAAAGCCTGCGAGGTTTGAAGCCGAATACCAAGAAAATAAAAAGGAATTGCAAAGATAAGACTCAAAACACATCAGAAAAGAATCAGAGAAATCTTTAACAGCAAGGGAGATGGGGTACAGGAGAAAACCATATGTGTTCAGCTAATAGGATACAAACAAAATGTATAAAAACAAGCACCAACAAAAAATACCGACCCATCAAGATGCAATCATAACGGATTTAGTTGTTCACATCTGCTTTCTATTCCATACAGGGTTATACAGCACACTCAGCACTGTCGGATCTGAATGCCTCCCAGTAATGCATTAAGCAACATTATTAACATCCATCATATGCTTTGCTGTCACCCCTTCCCCAGGGGGAGAAGTGTGGGTACCACAGTGTTTTGTTTTTATAGTTTGATTTTTTTTTTTCTCTGCCCCCTCTTTCCTTTGACCTCTCTTCCTTGTAAATCCAGTTCTCTCCTGTGATGACTTTTAAGAAATACAGTTATGTCTATTCTGGAAGCACTGCTTCGGTATAGCTATTTTGATATAATACAGCAATTGTGGAGTGTCTCCTCACTTTTATTGTTCTTGACTAGGGGTCGCAGAATGTTATTGTAGGATAGAAATGTGCCAGTGATTTTCCTTGTGTCTCTATTCCCCTGATCTGTTCTTAAATATAGACTTTGACTATGTGCTGTTCAATCAGTTAAGTTCTTGATTCTCTTGGTTCTAAGAACTCCATAGGACCCACTTTGGGACTGTATAGATCTATTCATCTCCCCGTCCATGTCTTCATGAGAAAAGAAATGAAACAACAACAAAAAAAGAATTGCAAGCACAAGCAAAAAAAAAAAAAAAAAAGCGGTATTGTCTTCTGCTCTACCTTGGGAGGAGACTGAGTGTGTGACAAGGATAGCAACACATAAGAAAACAGCAACAAAAAGCACCTGAAGTGATGTGAAAAGTCATCACACAGAAGCCACGTGAATTTTGAGAAGCGGCAGCATTATTTGGCCTTAAAACACCAAGTGATCTCTTTGCATTTCAACTTTGACAGCCCTCAGGGTCTAACAAGTGACAAAAGAGGTACTTTAGGACTGTGACTATCAGATGCCCTTAACGTGATAATACCTGGTTGGTAGGCAGGGTACAAGCTAAGGAACTGAAAACCCGAGAGTTGCTCATTGCTCCAGGAGCAAGTGGCAGAAACAATAGCCGAAATTATAGGGACATAGCCTGACATTTGCGTTGCAGATGTTGGCTGGGCACTGTGCATATGAAGCAATCCTGCCATAGAGCTGTCACAATCCATTTCCAAGCCAGGATGGACCAGCATTTTAGCCTATTCATGTTGACAGACCTACATTTAAATAACGCCAAGCATGACAATAGCCAGGAAATTCAAAGTTAAAGCTACTGCTCAGGTCTTATGCTCGGCTATTAAGGAGAAAACAGCCAAATGGAGTAAACTGTGGAAGGAGCAGTCCTTGCTTTGAGTCATATATACTTACAGGAGTGATCTCATTGAAATTAATAGGGCTGTCTGCATGAGTAAATGCTCTTCACTGGGAGTGAAACAGTTTCCACGTGTTCTCGGACTTGCTCTGTCTTTTATTAGCAGGCTTCATGTTTTTTTCTCCCCCTAGCTAGTTTCCTCCCTTGTGGATGTCTCTTTTTTTCCTTGCTAGCCTTTGGACACTGGCAGCACTTCCAACCAGGAGCTTTTCCTTGGAGAAACCCTTGTGTAAGAAGTCCCTTCTGGGGAGAAAAGAAAGCCAGAACAAGACAAGGACGAGTCGGGCAGTCGTCCAGAGGCGCGTAGCCAGGGGGACTCCAGCAGGACCTGGCCACGCGTCAGACTGGTGACCGTCCCTCTGCGAGGCTGCCGAGAAGGCCTCCCCGCTCCTCCAAGCAGAGGGACCAGGGCAGCTTGGGGAAGCCCTGCAGAGGACTGGCAAATGGGTTTCCTTGCTCGTGGCTGGGAGTGAACTCATGGGTCTCCTTTTCTTTTGCTGTGCAAAACTGTCACAAGAAGTTCTCCTTAACTTTTCTTCCCTTGTGTCTAACCTTCAGCTCTAAGTTTTCCTTTGAAACAACCAAAACAAACCAAAACAGCAGAGTGTGCAAGCACTGCATCGTTTGCCAGAAGTGGGTGAATTGGCAGACTCTGGTCCTCAGCAGCGAGGTTACTGCAGATCTGAGGTCAACCTTTGTTCACAGACTAGCCCAGGGGAGTATAATATACACGCAAGAGTGTTATAATGATGTGTCTTGTCAGAGCCTTGGTTTTCTATTTTAGTTTTCACCCCGTTGGCCTGACTCGCCACTAAACCCACACGACACCTGACTTGTGGTGAATCAGGCCCACTGTTTGCTTCCGATGGTTATCATCGCATCGCGGCCGCATTACAACCCCATGTGAAAGAGAAACACTGCTGAAGGCGGGGACAAAATTACATCCTCTGGTTCTTCCAGAAAGGTAAATGCCCCATGTGAAATAAAAACAAGAGCAAAGAATCCAGTAAAGTCAGGCTGAGGCTGTAGGCGTACGTTCCTGTGCCCACTGCCCCTAGGAAGAAAAGCAGTCAGAGGCTGCTCGCCAACAGCAGTACGCGGGGAGCAACTCCTGTTGCTGCTAATTCTGTGTGCAAGTGGTTACCCCAGAGCCCTGAGCCAAAAGTCACCAACCTCAGCGCTGAGGCCCCAACACTATGAAATATTGTAGGGGAGAGGTAGGAGGAGAGAGCAGAGGGTTGAGGAGAAAACAGTAAAAAAACAGCTAAACAATTAATTTTACTTGAGACCTGATCCAGAACGTCAATCCATTCTCACAAGATGTTTAGCCTCATACCTCTAACATACTTTTTTCTAATGGGAACCCTAAGGTTTGTAGTCGATGTCCCCGTAACAGCAAAATACACGGAAACCATATCAAGTATCCTAGCTTAAAGTGTGAGTAGTATTCATCTGCCTGTTACACACGCCGCAGCTTTATCAGAAAATGATTTCAGATAAAACCAGAATATACTATACAATAAATAATTCATGGTGGAAGGGGAGCCACATTTCTCTCTATATTGGCATTTCATCGTGCAGCCACTGAACCACAGCTTGTTTTTATAAACAGCAGCAGACTCCATTTCCCAGCTAGAAACATTCAATCCCATCTGGTAGATTCATTCCCAGCTAGATAATACCCAACGTATCTATGTAACATACAAGCTACTGTCAAACAGCAGCGAGCCGTCTCCCTGAGACAGCTGTTTCGCACAAGGGCCGCATTGTCTGGAGGAAGCGCGGATCGTTTTACGCGGAGCGCCGGGGGGACCAGCCCTCTGTCAGCTGCCATGGCATCGAGAAAACCTCGCTCATCACACGTTCTCGTTATTTTGTTATCTGGCCAAACACACGCTGGGGATGTCAGGTGGAAAACAAAGGATGCGTTCCCTGCTCTGCTTATATTTCATTAGGAAAACCAAAGCAAACACACCTCTTCTGCTCCTTTCCTCCCTCTCTTGAAAGTTTATAGACATATGAAAAAGATGTATTTTGGGGCAGGTTTTGTAGCAGCCAGGCTTTTGTTTCTGGCGCTGCTGAGCAGGCAGAGTCGCCCCAGCTATATGCTTTTCCTTGGCACGAGGTAGAGCAGGGCATGCTAAGGTGCAGCAGAGAGCCCCACATATCCTCTGCGGGAAGCAGCTGCATGTGCTGCTGCAGCCGATGGTGTCACACTGAAATCAGTACCTCACCAGTGACCACAAAACACAGGTGACCCATTTTCTCCTCCCGTTTCCAGGAGAAAAACTTCTTGTTTCCGAGAAGTGCCAGTCAGAAAAATGAAGAGGTAGAATAATCCGCATGACACATGCCATGTGTGCTGTAAGAAGGCATTGGGAATAGCCAGCCTAACCACTCCTTTATCTTCCCTGTAACTGATTTCTCCCACTGATTGCTCAAAAAAGAGCCCTTTAAAACTATCATATATCAAAGACACCAAGACACTGACAGAAAATTCTGTACACGGATATACATATTCTACATGTATCATCAGCCTTGTAAAAGTCACTTCATGCTTGTTTCCCAAAGTGAAAACTACTTTGGTGCACAAATACAATATTTGCAGGTTTTCCTGTTGTTACCGGTTTATAGAATCATGGAATCATGGAATGGTTTGGGTTGGAAGGGACCTTAAAGACCATGTAGTTCCAACCCCCCTGCCATAGGCAGGGACACCTTCCACTAGACCAGGTTGCTCAAAGCCTCGTCCAGCCTGGCCTTGAAGACATCCAGGGATGGGGCATCCACAACTTCTTTGGGCAACCGGTGCCAGTGCTTCACCACCCTCTCCATGAAGAATTTCTTCCTTACATCCAATCTAAATCACCCCACTTTCAATTTAAACCCATTACCCCTTGTTCTATCACTACAGGGCCTTGTAAAAAGTCCCCCCCAGCTTCCTTGTAGGCCCCCTTCAGGTACTGGAAGGTGCTATAAGGTCTCCCCGGAGCCGTCTCTTCTCCAGGCTGAACAAGCCCAACTCTCTCAGCCTGTCCCCATAGCAGAGGTGCTCCAGCCCTCTGAGCATCTTCGTGGCCTCCTCTGGACTATCTTTCTTATGTCCAGTCTAAGTTGTTGTGGCAAAGAGGAAGCAAGTGGGTTTTGTGTCTTTGACTTAAAATGCTGTGCATTTCCTATTTGTTCTGTGTTCACACTTCTTTTTCAGTCTAAAATCTTAGTTCATGGGGTTTATTTCTTGCATACTAACAACAGAAAATCTTTGTATTTTGATACATGTTCAAAGATATTTTTGAACGCATTGACGATGTAAGTTAAAAATGAGGTTCAGATACTCTAAAACTTGGGGGATCTGGATCTACTCTGAAGGCTAATCCTTCCATATTTTTCCCTCAGAAGAAATTGTTAACCTATTATATAAAAGAAATTTTGTAGAAATAGAGAACCTTAACATACCTTAATGTTAAGGTTATCTCATACTTTCCATTAGAAGTCACTTTACAGAGGCTTACAGTAGTGTCTAACTATCCAGATCAAATGTCTCTATGGTTATTTCTTTCATTGGGTTGAATGGAAAGTTTCAGCAGAAACAGCTTATGCATTCCTAAGAATTTAAAAAAATATATTTTTGCCAGTGTTGATTCCTTTCCTTCCATAAATTGAAACCTTCATATCTCATAAGAATTCTAGTGCCCCCTTTCTTCAGAGAAAGGGTTAGAAATTTGGAAGAAGCAATCCTGGAGCTAAAGCAGTAGTCCTTGCTTTGGTAGGAGCTAATTTGGGGGTCAGACAAGTGTTATTTGTCTATCCAGGAAAATATACTTAGGTATGGCTAAATTATATGTTATTAAACTCTCTATATGCAGCTGCTCCATAGTGTTTTCTAGAAGCTCCCTGCTAGAATTTCACAGAGTTACAGATTCTCAGAGTGGTGGGGTTGGAAGGGACCTCTAGAGATCATCTCGTCCAACCCCCCTGCCAGAGCAGGATCACCTGGAGTAGGTCACACAGGAACAAGCCCAGGCGGCTTTTGAAAGTCTCCAGGGAAGGAGACTCCACCCCCTCCCTGGGCAGCCTGTTCAGTGCTCTGTCACCCTCACAGGGAAGAAGTGTTTCCTCATGTTCAGGTTGAGCCTTCTGTTTTGCAGTTTATGGCCATTGCAAAAGCTTCATTCACAAGGACCATGCTCCTAAGATCACAGGTTTCCCTATGTCCAAAAGCTGACAGCTATCAATAGTACCCCTCCTTGTAATGGAAGTAAATGGAAAAAAAAATCCGTTTTTATCGTGAGAAAAAGATCTGGACAGGGAGGCACGTGTTCAGCCCTTCTTCCCTAATTAGAGTAAGACATGAGCTACCCAGCCCTTCTTACTGATGAAGGCTTACTAGATGTTCCTGTTACCTTACAGGTGGGGTGACACTTCTGGCAGTGGTGACAGCTGAGATGTAGTTTGCATGTGTATGTTTTTTATCACAGAGTACGGAGAGCTTGTTTTACCGGGAAGACCGAAGTGGTATGAGAACTGCAAGGGAGATGAAGGGATGCTGCAGAGGGAAAGAGAGGGAGAACAACTTGGAAGCACAACTGAAATCTCTTTCAATTGGGAGACTCTGGTGCCAATCATCATCTTAAAAAGCAACTAAAATATGAATTTAATGAAAAAAAACTAGAATGTGTTCAATTATATTCTAAGGTTATGAGAAGTGGTTTCAAATGAAGCGTTAAGAAAAATTAATACTACAAGATCCCTAACCACGACCTCCTAATTATCCGTTGAACTATGCAATCCCAAAAGCTAATGCCTCTGGAGTTTCAGAAGTGCCAAGCATTCGCATTCCCTGTCAACTTTAATAAGGATTATTATATACCTACATACAGCCCTTATGAGAATCACAACCACAGCTTTATTAGCTAAATAAGAAAGGGCACGATACGGAATTCATTGGAGTAAATTTGACCCATATTAAATACTTTTTTTGCAGTTGCAGTATTATTGTATGTAGTTACTTACTGTCCTCAGGTAAGTTGTTTTCCCGTTCTTCTCTCTCCATCTGTTGGCACCAGCCCTCCATACGATCTCTCTCTGCCTGAAGTAGCTTCAGAAACCAGTGGCCATCTCGTGGGCACACTGACCTTTGAACTGCTTCCAGAGGATCTTCAGTAATAGAGTCAATCCAGGGATCAGGAGGAGGTAAAATTGACGGATCAAAATCTGTATCAAAGTCATCATCCACTGCACATGCATGGTAATGGTTTCCTGACCCTTGTATGCTAACAGTAGAAGTGCTTGCATCTCGAGAAAATTGTCTTGATATTTGTCCAGAGCATGTATTGTCCTCTTGAGGGTTGATTATTTCAAAGTTCTCATGGAAATCCAGGTCTGCTTGCACAGCTGTTGTTACACTATTAGATCGTGTAAACCTGCGAAAGCTTTGGAGAGCACAAACACAAAATGTTTAGAAAGCTTTTTCTAGGTAACTCAGTAAGATAGGAGTCAAGATTCTGCCACTCCTCCCAAGACTGGCAGTCATGGCTCTCAGTGAAAGTGCTTTTTCTTGAGATGATCAGCATAAACTTTATTTTCTCATTGCAAGCCAACAAACGTAACTATCCCTTTTCTCCATGCAAGCTCACTGTTTATTGAGGCAAGTACCCCTAAACGTTGTGGGGTTTAACAAAGCCAGAGTCTAGCCCCGGAGAGAGCTAATAGTGTCAGTTGCTCAGGAGTTTAGGTTGCCAATTAATGAAAAGTTAAAGGGGCACAATTTTAAGAAGCGTCTTATCTTTCAACTTTTCAAACTCACACCCCTTTGAAGTTACACACCCAAACTCACATTTTCATTGTGAAATGAAAAGCCACATTTCAAAATCATACATGTGAGATCGATAAAATAGCAATACCAATGAGTACTCTCTGCGTAATATTATACATTCCATTTATAAAGAAGGTTAAGTATTTTTAAACCAGATAAGTATTTTGTATTGCTTCTTCATAATTACTCTTCATAATTATGTACCTGCTAATACCGCCGCCGTCTCTCACAATTTCAGTGCCCATTCCCACTCTTTTTCACATTTGACCTTCAGTTTCAATGGTCTTCTCCTTTTCACCAAAGCTAGTGGCTGTCTGTGTTACCCTCATCATGAAGGTTGCTACACTGCAGGTAGCTTCCTTCCACCCTGCGTAGTCTCCCTGTGCTGGAGCCTCTGAGGGCAGGGGACAAACCCTAGGGTTTGGGTGGTTTTTCTTACATAAACCACTCCAAATTCTGCGGTCCAAGGCATCAGAGGTGAAGAGGCTGACAGAGAAGGAGCAGAGGGAAGTGTAAGGAGTACCAGACACCTAATGCTGTTGAAAGGGGTGGTAGTGAGATCAGAGATGACAAGCAGTAAACTGTGGAGGGAATGAGTGGAAAATCTGCAAGGACATAATTATAGAGAGTTTGGGTAAGTCTAGCAACTGATGCACTGAGGAACACAGGAAAACAAGTGAAGCAGACATCTGTCTTGCCCCATAATGATAAAGAAGGTAGAACCATGAAGTAATTCATGTGGATGTTAATTAAATTCTGAAATACTTCAGAATGAACATAAATTTGAACTGAACAGGGGCAGATTCCCACCCTTCTTCATGCTAATCCAGGATGCCTGTGCGCTTACGCTTCTGGTAATCTGCTTCCGATTTGTTCACAATCTCACATTTAGTCTTGAAACCACTGTTAGGACCCATTTCCCTGCAATATTTTGGTTGTTTTGCCCTTACCAGTTCAATTTTTGCTTTGAGCTCAAGCAGAAATGCAAATGCTGAAGAGGCAGTGGAGCTGGATGCTGGGAACCGTTTTAGTCCCTGTCATTTATATTCCACCTTCCACTGAAAAGCAATAACTGGTCAGACAAGTACAACTGACAGCAAAACTTCATCAAGTGTATTTAGTCTGCAGTTCAGGAGGGAGCAGGTGGAATGATGCTCAGGGAGAATCATAGAATCACAGAATGGTTTGGGTTGGAAGGGACCTTAAAGATCATCTAGTTCCAACCCCCCTGCCGTGGGCAGGGACACCTTCCACCAGACCAGGTTGCTCAAAGCCTCATCCAGCCTGGCCTTGAAGGCATCCAGGGATGGGGCATTCACAGCTTCTCTGGGCAACCTGTGCCAGTGCCTCACCACCCTCTCTGTGAAGAACTTCTTCCTTACATCCAATCTAACCCTCCCCACTTTCAATTTAAACCCATTACACCTTGTCCTGTCACTACAGGCCCTTGTAAAAAGTCCCCCCCAGCTTCCTTGTAGCCCCTTCAGGTACTGGAAGGTGCTATAAGGTCTCCCCGGAGCCTTCTCTTCTCCAGGCTGAACAAGCCCAACTCTCTCAGCCTGTCTTCACAGCAGAGATGCTCCAGCCCTCTGAGCATCTTTGTGGCCTCCTCTGGGAGAATTTCATGTCCTATATACCTGGTGCATCCAGATACCTCGTGAGGAGTGCAGCAGGCTTCAAAGACGACTACACCAGGTCCTGCTGATAGAGGAAATTAGTGGCTGTTGACCTGGGGCTTTGAGAGGAGCAGAGCAAAGCAAAACAGGAGTTGAGAAGGGTTCTCCAATTAAAAAAAAAAGCCAATTCCTCTGCAGAAGAAAGCTCGAATTAACTTCTCAGCCACACCAATCCCTGGAAAACTTGAATAATAGCTTGTGCACATATTTTTTTTAGAATGTCATAGAATACAGTTTACTGTAGTGCCTGCCGTTCGCGGTTCTTTTGAAACAGGTGTTGTTAGATGTTGCAAAAGTCACAGTTATGCTACTGTAGTTTTGCACGACATGCACCACTAAACTGAAAAATATGAAGCGAGCAGAACTCTTCAGCTTGGTAGTCTGTATCCATTGACAAGCAGAGCAAAACATTTTGCTATGGACTGATACAGCAGAAAAAGTTCAAAAGGGAGGACAGGGATCATTGGTAGTATGGTATGGCTTCCATAGGAAGAAAGACATTTCTTGGTTTAGAAAACAGATGGCTGAGGAGGGATAGGAGAGACCTCTGAAATCCCAACTAGGTGATGTTTCACCATTTCTCAGTACAAGAACTGTGGGAGGAAGGCAGCCAGTTGAAGGCTTAGAGGTCTGAAGACTTAACATCCACTGAAAGGAAGTATATCTTCACACAATGTGTAATTAAATCACCACAGGATCCTGGGAAAACCAAAGGTAAAAATAGGTTCAAAGAGAACCTGATCAAATTCACAGGAGATAGGTCCAGGAAGAGCTATTGCACAGATGTCATATCTGGCTTAGGAAGTCCCTGAACAACAGACTGCTAAATTGGGAAGGTCTACTGGGACAAGTAGTGCTTTATACACACTCTTTATACTTTTCCTTTGCACAGACTCCTTTATACTTTTCCTAAGTATCTGCTACTGGCCCCTGGCAGAGAAAAGCTGTTAGACTGCTGTTAGGGGTTAGAAAGACACTAGCTTTAGGATGACACTGCAGTGAAAATACTTTGGTCCAATCTATGCTAATTTTTTAAAAAGATTGCTTCAGTTTGGCCACCAACCTGACAAATCCCTTATCTGCACTGAAGTGTGTGCATGCATACACATACACACAAAAAAAACCCCCTCAAACCCAACCCATGTATGCCCACACAGACACATGCTCACACAGGATTTCTTTTCAGTCACAGGTCACTGAGAGCCAAGGCATTAGTACCCAGTGTACTCTTCAACACCTTCCACAATAACGGAGAGAAAAGCAAATGCCTTAATCCAGTCTCGTTTTTCTCCATGCCCCTACCTCCATGTCACAGCTGCTTTCTGCTTTCCCCAGTGCCCTAGACTCTGATATCCTTCTGTTTCAGATGACTATTTGTATTTTCATTTAACACCCTGGCTTTTCAGAGTACACCAAATCCCAAATGTGAAAATGTCAAGGTATACTTGCCAAGAGGATGTATTGCTGGAGGCACTACATTTCAAAGCTTTCAGGAGTGTACTCTTACCGGGTTCAATATGAGCTAGTACCACCAAACCAGACTCTGCTCAACAAATAAAATAGAATGACCTACTTTTTTTGGCCTTTGTTTTATCTATATAATAGTATGCTACAGGCCTGCTTGACAGATTCTTGGCACTGGATTCTGTAACCTATCTGTCTTCAAAAGAAAAACAACTTGGCAATAGAATATAGCATCAGTTCAAAATTAAAAAAAATACTCCCAAGGAAATGTATGTTGAGTGAAATGGAAATGCAGGAAGGCACCCACTATCTGCCTGCCTGCAGCACATCTATATAAAATGCCTAATAGATGGTAATTTTAGTCTCGGACATAGCTTCCTCACTCACTTCCAGGATGTTTTACTCTTAGAAAATACCATTTGTGTCCCACATGAGCCTTGTTTTTTTTTCTCTCAGAAGTCTGTATCACAGGAGAGCTGTTGAAGCCAGTGCCTAAGTCTTTTTACTATTTCTACACATACAAAACATTCACAGGTCTGTCTAAAAAAAAAATAATTTTTTTATAAATTGTCGTTAAAAAACAGGATTTGCTTCTTCCTTTGCTTTCAGGCTTGGCCCTTTTGTACTCAGTTGTGCCCTGCAGGCACAAGGTGTAATAATTACAGCTTCAGAGAACTGCAGCAGATATCTGGCCTAAGGTGAAGAAAGCCAGGAAACCTCAGACTGGATAAACCAGTATAGGGAACAACAGCACGATGTGTTTTGAACAGCAACAACAGGGTCACTTGTTAGCATTCAACTCTGCTTCTAAGACTTATTTTCATTTCTTTTGAAAAACATGTTTACATTTCCAGAGAACTTCTTTCTTTCCTAAAAAAAAAAAAGCTCCCAAACCCCAGAAACTATCTAGGTTTCAAATCAACTGATGCATGGTGAGTTTCAGACGTGTTAAATTCATTCAGTTCAGCCTGCCTCACTTTACCCATTGGCTGTACTCCCTCCGTTGTGAGCTTCTCTGTAAGGTTGCAGCCGCTGTCAGCACAACAAAACAAACTGCAGAAGGAGTTAGCAGATACAGTACCATGTTTTCTAATGGTAGGATCTGTGGCCATACATCTTCAAGCTACACACTCTTGTGTGCTTTGCTCTATTTCTCCCCTCTCTCCCATTCACAGTGTTTTTTTTATCACTAAGAGTCTTAGCAAGGGAACTCTAATCCTTTAGGAAATGTTAGACTAGACTATTTCAGTTGGAAGGAACCTACAACAATCTTCTAGTCCAACTGCCTGACCATTTCAGGGCTGACCAAAAGTGTGTTAAGGACATTGTCCAAATGCCTCTTGTACGCTGACAGGATTGCGGCATTGACCACCTCTCTAGGGAGCCTGTTCCAGTGTTTGACCACCCTAAGTAAAGAAATGTTTCCTCATGTCCAGCCTAAACCTCTTCTGGTGCTGCTTTGAACCATTCCCAGGCGTCCTGGCACTGGATCCCTGGGAGAAGAGATCAGCGCCTCCCTCTCTGTATCCCTTCCTCAGGAAGCTGTAGAGAGCAGTGAGGTCACCCCTCAGCCTCCTTTACTCCAAGCTAGACAAGCCCAAAGTCCTCCACTGCTCTTCTCAGGACATGCCATCCAGCCCTTCCACCAGCTCTATTGCTCTCCTCTGGACACATTCAAGGACCTTCACATCTTAAATTGTGGGGCCCAGAACGTACACACAGCACTCAAGGTGAGGCTGCACTGATGCAGAATACAGGGGGACAATCCCCTCTGTGACCAGCTGGTTGTGCTGACTGTAATGCACCCCAGGGTGGGGTTTGCCTTCCTGGCCAGCTGTGAGGGCACGCTGCTGGCACACATTGAGCCTGCTGCCAACCAGCACCCCCAGATCCCTTTCTGCAGAGCTGTTCTCCAGCCACTGCTTTCTCAGTTTATACCTGTGCACAGTGTTATTCCATCCTAGGTGCAGATTCTGGCATTCTGATTTGTTAATTTTCACCCCATTAATCATAGACCAATGCTCCAATGTATCTAGATCCCTTTGCAAGGCTTCTCATCCCTCGAGAGCATCAACAACACCTCCCAGTTTGGTATCATCAGGAAACGTGCTGATGGTGCATTCAACTCCTGTATCCAGATCACCGATAAATGTATTGGACAGAACTGGCCCTGGAACTGAACCCTGAAGGACATCACTGGTCACCAGCCCGATGTAGCCCCACTCAGTACAATCCTTACACAGAATCACAGAACCCTGCCCTTCAGCCAATTCTTTACCCAGTGCACTGTGAACCCAGTCATCCCAGAGTTGGACAACTTGTCCAGAAGGACGCTGTGAGGGACAGTATCAAAAGCCTTACTAAAATCCAGAAAAACTACATCCACTGCCTTCCCTTCTCCCACTGGGTGTGCAACCTTTTCACAGAAGGATATCAAATTAGTTAAACAGGACTTTCCCTTTGTGAGCCCACTTTAACTGTGCCTGAGGACTGCACTGTACTTTAAATGCCTTTGAATAGTACACAGTGTAATCTTCTCCATAATTTTTCCAGGAACTGAGGTTAGACTAATGGGTCTGTAGTTCCCTGGGTCTTCTCTCACATCCCTCTTGTAAATTGGAACAACATTGGCTAGCTTCCAGCCATCAGGGACCTATCCAGGCTCCCAAGACTTTTAGTAGATGATTGAGAGGGATGATCAAATGCCATAACATTCGCTAGCTCCTTTAGTACGCTGAGATGAATCCATTCAGGCCCCATGGACTTGTGAACATTCAGCTGATACAGCCGGTCCCTTGCAATTTCAGTGTCCAAACAAATGGATGCAAACCAAGAAAACAATATTCCTGCTCCAACTGCTCTCCCCGCAGCAGCTCATCCTTGTCCATCACCCAGAAGCAACAAGCCATGCTTGTCACCCATGGCACCTGAAACATCCAACCTGTCTTCCCTGGGATCCCTGAGGGAAAGGCAGCAGCCCCTGATGCGCTCAGCCTCCTAGGGGATGGACCACTGCAGATTGTGATGTCCCGCGATGCAAGACAGACTGAAAGTGATTACAGAGCTATGGGACTGAAAGTCTCTTGTTCAGTAAGGCTGTTGTGCTAATTGGCCTGGCGCAATATGTGACTTCTGGTTCAGTAGCACTGGTTGCCTTCCAACAATTCCATTATCTTCTGTGAGGATTGGAAGGTGGTCCCTTGAGTTCAAGAAGAAGATGCAGGCAGAGAGAAAGGACAAACAGAAATGGACAGAAATGGAAGTGCCCTGAGATTGCACTGATCAGCTTCAATAGATACACATTTCAAAATTGCACTGGAAAGGGTGGGCCATGTAGGAAAGGGGAGGAACATTTTGGCTGTAGTTTCGTTACTATCATGGAGGAGATAAAGTGAGAGATAACACCGTAACAGCAGGAAGATCATGAGGTTGAAAGAAATGGATACCATTTTTTTTTTTCCATAAGAAGAACTGGACAGAGATACTCTATAAATGCTAGGAATCATAGAGCTACACTTAGGGAATGGGTACGAAAAAGATTATTGAGAGCAGGTTGCATAAGGAACGGAGAATAAGATGAATAGTGGTGATGGATCCAGTTGTAATATGGTCAGGTAGCACATCTATCCTTTGAACAGGACAAGAGGAGGAGGAGGAGTCATTTCTCTTGGCAGGAAGCCAAGGTTAGGGAGAGTGAAGTGTTAATGAAAGGTCTGAGTTGAGGTGGAAGATAGAAGAGAGCAAGCTGTCCTCTGAAGATGCTCTCGTTTTGAGCTACTTAGAACAAGAAATGGAGTCAAAATCTTTTGCTTACTTGTTGCAAGCACAGAAACAGGAATATTTAAAAGGACATGAGGAAACAAGGCTTCTTAGCATAAGAATGACAGTCATATGAAGTGAGGGAAATAGGGAGGAAAGCAGGAAGCAGAGTGAAACAAATTTTGTATAGTAGGCTTTTGGTGCATTAAGCAAAGAGCTTTGCACTTTTTAGCTTAGTCTGGCAAGGAAACATGATCAATTTACTGTATTTATCCTCTTTGCTGTGTCATTCTTCTCTTCTTATTTTATATTTATTTAATTTCTTAAGCCTGGAAGATTTTAAAAAACATTAATTTGCCAAAGATTCAAAGGAAAAGGGCTTTTCTGAGGCTCTGCAGATGTTATGGTGCAGGGGCAGGGAAGAATGCACTGTATTTACAATTCTATTCCTGTAACAGATAATCAATACATTGTGCTCTGCTGTGTTAAAAAAAAAGAAGGAATATGAGTGCCAAACTGTGATGATAAGCCCTTTGTGTCTTGAGTGCACTCATTTTCTAAGGATTAGGGGCTGTCCTTTATCAGCCAGTTAACTTTTGAAAGTCCATGATAGATTGCTGCTTGCCTGCCTGCTCCAAACAGCAGCAACCTCAACTTTATCAGCAAGGAAACCCCCAAACACGGCTGTCAGTAGGTAATGCAGAAATATTGCATTCTGAGGGCAGACCCTCACAAGCAGATCTTACCTTTTCTCTGGAGCAATAAAAACTGCAATAGAAAGAGGACTTAGGAAGTAAGGTATTTACAAACAGCCACTTCTTTCTTTGTTTTTTTCTGTGTTTGTGGTTTCATCCCGCCAACCCCCCCCGCTTGCTTTTGAGGTAGTTATTTCCTTTGTGCTCAGGCCGAAGGGAAATGGTCTTTCAGGATCTATTCTAATGTGCTCATTTATCTAGTGCTGGAAGAGTTGTGGGTAAATGGGGCTAAGGTCTAACACATAAAGCAATATCTGCCAGCAAGAGATGTTTTAGCAGGTTAATGAGGAACTTGGTAACAGCCTAGCAGGGTCATTGCAAAATCACATTTCTTTTTGCTGAAATCACTTTAGCCTTTGAAAACCATGGGAAAACACTCTGCTACTTTATGGGGAGATTTTGTTGAATTGAAAATGGTGTAGATAGCATGTTGGTTTTGAGTATTATTAGCAGAAGTAGGAAAAAACCAGCGTGACAATGGACAATCTCAACTGCCCACTGCGGTTGGCCGGTCAGAATAGGGCAGAGGGGCCTGATTTTGTCAGCACAGGTTTGCTTCACTCAGGTTTTGTCTGGAGAGATTGTAAGGGTGACTCTCCCCTCACCGACAAACGATAACGCTCTGAGGCTTCTCCTGTGATACCATACAGCGAGTTGTCAACAAAGTGGCTCCAGTATCCAGAAGTTACGCTGTGTCCGAGCAGCTTGTGAGACATGAGAAAAGGCTTGGAAATGCTCAGAGGGGAGGGGAGAGTCTGGCTTTTCTTCAGTCACTGAGTCCAGTTTTGGGCAGGAATTAAGATTTGTAGCTGTGGTCTAGCACTCAAAAACTTTATGTGTCTGGAAAGTGCTGTGCAGAGTTATGCTGCCCTGCAACATAACTGCGATTCGTCATCCAAAAGAAACATAACCCTTAAAGACAACAACTGTTCTAGATTTGTTTGTTTGTTTGTTTACTAATTCAGTTTACACTGCAGACTGGGGAGAGAACCTAGTTTTACAGGCTTGCTCTTTAATCTCAGCAATTTTTTGCAAGGGAGCAACTGTAATGCAGAGATGTCTGGGTGAGATACCCAAGCAAGAGCAATCAGTTTGGCTCTGCCACTGCACTGCTTCACGTGGCTGAAATTACTCTGATGAAAAACAAGGTAAACTTCCCCATCAGCTTCCCTATCAACACGCTGTTGCAGCTGTCCCAAGACTAATGCTCCAGCTGCATCACATTTCTCTGTTCAGGTAGATTTTCTGGGGAAAAAAGAGCTTATTAGAAGTATATTGACCTTCAAAACGTGGCACTTTTCTTCCAGTTCTCCCGCTGGTCCTGAAAAATCCCCTCTGAGAAACAAGAGCTGCAGCATTTATAAGACTCAGCTTTTCAGTTGGGTGATCTAACAATTCATCCAGGAAGCAGGTTTATATGGCCATGCGTGCAGGAACTAGGGCTCTTAAAAATCAGTTGCAGCATAATTATTTACTTTAGGAAAACAGTATTAACTTTTACTCACCACTTCTCCTCTTCTACTTGAACTCCTATGGACTGGAACTTACTGGTTGCTTTATTTTCACTTGATTTGGTGGATTCTTCAGCGCCATCAACCTTAAAAAAAATTGACGAGCTAATTGGAATGTATTTTATCGGAGATATCATCCAGTTACAATTTCTATGCATGATAACTACTAAGTGTCTGCACATACATCTTGTACCATAAGTACCTTCATCTAGTCAGATAGTTTATCTGCGGTGTGCCCATTTCTGATGTTATTAGCGGATATTCATCATTCTTGTTAATCTATAAAGCATTTCTGGTAAGACAACATTCAGCCTGCAAAATGAAGATGGAATTTATCCAGTATTTTATGGAGGCTGGATGCTCCATTTGCCAGAGCAAATCTCTCTTAACTCCATTTACTGCGCTCCACCGTTTGTTTGATTTTACCTGTTAGCCTGTAGGTGCATGCGTATGTGAATGCATGTCAAAATCATGTGTTTATTTTGTTTAAATGTTAGTGCCCCGAAACAGAGCACTGTACAGATAAGATTTAAAGAAAGCAGATGTGGCTCTTGGATGCATTTTCTTTACTGCTTCGTCATGCAAAAAGGTGGTCCTCAGGAGCACAGTTAGGAACTTTATACCACCTCTTCATCCCCGTGAGATTTATACCAATGGTATAAAGCTAAAGTTTAACCACAGGTGTGTCTTTCAGCAAAATCACAAACTTCTGGGTCCAATCACTGTAGTTGTTAATTCCCTATGCTATCTATGACATTGTGAGTGATACAAGAAAAAAAATTACCAGCACACAACATTTTTAGACCATAGCAGTGATACAAAGTGACCTGTGGATCCACTCTGACCCCGGGTGTAGTTAACATCTGTTCCATCAGTAAATAAGCTGTTGTTGGGAGCAGCCTATGCAGGAAAAGTGCTCAGGGAGGGATGGGAGTTACAGAGGTGTTCAGTGAAGAGAGGTTCTTACCCGATAGTGAGGATTTTGGGGAGATAACTACACCTTAAATCCCCTAACTGACAGGGGGAAGCAACCTTTTGATGGAAGGGCTTTGCTTTGCTTTACTTTGCTTGTTTGCTAAACAGATTTACAGCAAAGCCTTTCGGTGTCCTAAGGTGACTGAGGGGTATAGAGGACTCGTATGGAGGTTCACCACAAGTGCACATTAGGTTTTTTTGTTAGAGGAGGAAGCAAAGCAAGAACATGCCTCTGGCTAATGCAGCTTGCCTGGCTCTATGGAGATAGACCAAACTATAATTAAAGTGCGTATCTCGTCTGAGTTCAGTCTAGGCCTAAAATAGGGTCCCTTTACAGTCAGTGGAAAGAGACCGACTCCATACTGCCAGTCTGAGAGCTGACAGCTTACCCACCTATTTTAGGGCAGTTGTTTCTAAGAGAAGTAAATTCTGGCAGTAACAGCTATCTTATGGTATTTCCACTCCCACACTACCCCTTCAGCTATACCAGCATGACTGCTTGTGCAATGATGCTGCAAAATGGACCAGACAGCAGACTAGCAAAGTAGTTTTCTTTTCTTTGTGAAGCCTGTCTGACTCTAAAAATCCCATTGATGGGCAAAACTAGGAGGGTGGCACAGTGAACGGGCAGGAATCCTGTAAGGCTGCATCACTGCTGAAGGTTTTGCTTCATGTTATCCCAGTTTTAGGCATCTCCATTGGTTTGTACACAAAAACTACCCTGCAGCCTCTCACATACCATCCTCAGGCAGCTTTCACATGTGATTATGTTGGTCATCTGTAAATTTCAGCATTTTAGAGGGAGATTGTCAAAGGCTTGGACAGCATTTGGAGCTCTATTTTCCTCAGACCTCAGGAAACTGAGGCTCCTATACCTCTCAAAAGCAGCATTTGTTACTTGCAGCAACACTACCTTAAGAATAGACAGCAGGGAGATGGTGTCTGAAGACCCGTGAGTCACATCACCGTTGTTCATTTTGTCTTCAGCAAATGTTGTGATTATTTCTTTCCACCCATTATTTTGCAGGGTGTTTGCCTGCTAAAGAGTCTTTGTTGCTTTGCTCAGTGAAATGAGGGATTACAACAATAAAATGGCATCTTAGGCTTGGCTGGGAATGGGAATAAGTAATAGAAGAGCTTTCCTCTATCCCTGTCCCACCTGGATCTTGCTCCTGTGTTTAACACTGAGCATCAGCCCTTCTTTCAGAACATACCCAAAACAAATGTCTGTGAAGTAGAAAAGGGCTACAACAAAGGCAGTGAGATGAACCCACAGGCAATAGTAATTATTGCCCTTCCAAAAAGAAGTAAGAGAAAAGTCACAGCTTCTCCAGGAGCTGCCCCTGGGATGGCATACTTCTACACAGCACCTCTCATCTCATCAGGCTGATGCAGAGATTCCACGGTAAATTGTTAGGCTTTGCTAATCAGATAAGCCTGTCCAGGCACATAGTGCTGTGCTTACAACCGCCATCTGCAAGAAAAAAAATCGTGTCTTCTTGTGAAGGCTGATAAGCTGTGGATTGCTATTCTATTTGCTTGGGATTCATCTCCTGTCAAAACCTGTGTTGATTCTCAGTTGATTCTAAGTTCAAGTACTTTGTTGCAAAAGCTAATCCTGCAAGCAGATAGTTGGAGTCCCATGCACATTCTTTTTTTGGGGTATGGGAAAGATTAATTAAGAAAGCAGATTACATTGGTCTAGTTTATTTGCTCTTCTCCTTTTTGTAAATAGGAGTGAACTTTGGCAGGGTTAGTTTTCTTGTTTCATTCTATTAGAGGTAACAAAATGTAATTTTCTTTAACAAGGGCAAATCAGAAGGAACTTATCCTCTGCTCTTGAGGCTGAGATAGGAACAATGCTGCCTCATTCAAGCGGCTACCAGTCATTATGAAATGCATGAATAAGCAGGGACAATTAATTCAGTGAGGCTGGACGAAAATATTTTTTGGGTGATAGTGTAATGTAAATCATTGTTTTACACATTCCCTTTCAGTGATTTAATTCATGCCTTTCTGACCCCCGCTGTGTTATGATTCATAGATTAGTGCTCATGTGTGTAATTTAACAGAGCTGAATAACAAGCAGCAAGGAGACTTAAACAAATCCTTGCATCTGATGTTTTTACGATAAATTAGGAAAACATCATTAGTACCATGCAGAATGATTACGCTGTTGCAATTTCTATATAGGTACCTGTCAGGAAAAGATGAAAAATACACAAAACATTGCATAATGAGCAGTAAAACAGATGTAGAAATCCAAACTAATGGCAGGCATATAATCCACATCCTGTACTGTACCTGTATTCCAATAGATAAGCATCTGTTTTTCTTGAAGTGGTCCTTCTTTCTGTCTTCTACTGCAACAGTGGCAATGGTTGTGGTGGTGGTGACGGTGGCAGTGTTGTTCCCTACATGTTGACTTGCAGGGCCATGGATTTGCGCATTGGCAGCTTCAATAGCAGCTGTTAGTGCCTTCATGCTGTCCAAGCTCTCTGTGGAGTTGCTAAGTCCAGACTGGCTGATGATATCTCCCCTCTGCCCATGTCCATCCATATATGCATCTTGGGCAGACTCTGTGCTGCTCTGGGCTGTGATGGAAATAAACGGTTTGGTGGTAGTTCTCGGTGGGACTGGGGGCGGTGTCTTCTTATAGGTGGTAATGCAGGATGACACTGGAAAAAACAAATGAGAGTTCTTGGTTTATTGATGCTGCAGGGAAAATGGATGCAAACATGACCTCAAAACGTTAGTGAGCATGGACAGAGAAGACATAAGGAGGACACTGATAGCCAAATAGCCACCCAAAACTCCCATGTAAATGCCATGGAAATTCCCTGCTTATCACTTTCCTCTGTTCCTACTAATATGAGTGGCAGAATTGCCAGTAGAGGGAAAGAAATTATCTATTTGCCAAGTTCCTCCTTAGTCTTGTTAGGATTGTTTTCTCCAGTGTGTTTTCCACTAACTGTTCTAAATCCCACGGGAACAAGCCTTCCACCAAAACGTTTGTTCTGCTCACAGCTTCCAAACCAGATTCACAAGGATGAATCTCCAACCACTGATCCTATCTAAACTGTACTTCGTGCAGTTTTATGGCAATTGTTTTCTGTCTCTCTCCCCTGTCGCACTGTATTTACCAAGCGTATGTAGAATTTTAAACTGCATTTTCTGATCAGAGAGAGATCCCCAAACCATCCTAGGTCAAAGTCTGTTAACACCCACCATGCTTGGACTTGCGTATTTCTTGCTATAAAACATCTCATTTGATGCACAGGCATCTCAAATACTTTGAAATGCTTTGTAAGCTGCTGAGGACATATTTGAAACAACATTTTGCCATGCTTAAATTTCTCGTCAAAAATATAACTATCAGTTCTGGAGAAAAAAAAAAAAAAAGCTTGATTTTACACACAGTTAGCGTAGTGAAGTCAATGGCTAAAGCCTGTCAGTCAGTGGGACTACTTAAAGGAAAGTGTGAGTATAAATGTTTGCAATAACAGATGATTTAATAAAAGTTTATGAGGACTCCTCTTTAGATATTTTGAAGGCCATGCTCTCTTTGTAAGTGTAAGTGCTCCTATGATTTAGGAGCATATTTTGAGGTTCCCCAGTTAAAAACTATTGGCCTGTGTGTACAGAATTGCATGCAGAAAGCAATACATGGAGATAAAACCATCTTCCTTTAAGGGATAGTTGGCAGCTCTGCATTTCTGAAATCCTGGAATGCTTTCAAATGAGGCAAGAAAGTCCATTAAGAACAAAAAACAATCATGATATGCTTTATTTTTCAAGAAAATAAATGCAGGCATGAACCTGTGCAAAGTTCAGACACAAACACGTTAACATAAATTCTTATTAACAGTAATCATATGGCAAGAAATGATTCATCAGATCATTTTAATTGGCAGATGTCTATGCCACCCACATAAAAGGTAACTCTACTACAGCTGTTCTGATCTCTGTTTGCACTGTATGTGCTTGTTGAGCCAGAAGCCATTATGGTATTCATTTGACTAGCTCAGATCCATATATCTCATATCTCCTGATAGCTGTAGGAATAGTTATAGTGTAAAAGGTGTTTCCAGGGCATGAAATTACATGGGATTTTTTTAAAGGACTCTCGTACAAGTTTCTGATAACATGTCTGAACCCATGTTAAACATGTTGAATGCTAATAGAAAAAGAGTGTTTCACTGAGGTAGTGAGGGTTTTGAAACTATGATTCACTTCTGAAGAATCAAACAGAAACTACAGCATTTCTGAGAGAAGAGATGGCTAAAAATGAACTTGTCACATTTTAACTCCAGGGAAGTGAATAGTTGATAAGGGCTGAAGGTGTTTTTTAAAACGCTTATGACAAGACCAATACCAGGAACTAACAGAAAGGATGACAAGTTTACAAAGGGGTTTGTGAATTTTGTGCCATTCGTTCTTGGTTTTGATGCTGCCAAAAAGCATTTGTTGCGACTGTGCACATTCAGGTAAATAAGCTGCTGTTGCCGTGGCACAAGCGTTTACTCCGGGACTTGCGGAGATTTGTGGAGGCTGCTTGTTTGGGTGATGACATCCCAGAAATGACCCGGGTGGTTGGCGGTCTGGAGAATGTTCTCTGAATGGTGGAAATGCAAACTGAAAATCACCGCTGAAGAACACACGTGCGTATATCCAGGTAATGCTTGGTGTAGCCGGTGCCAAACTTGTCTCATCGCGGTTGGTGTGCAGTGCTACTTTGCAATTCAGCAATGTGTAAATTGCCCCATTTAAAATATGCTAGGTAGGGTCATTGTGGAATTTCTGGGGAGACGCCAGCTCCGTCAGGACATCCCCGCAAGGCATGTAAGTATAATTTTTCCTATGTAGCAGATAGGGAAATTATAAAGAAACACTCAAAAGTGCTCTTAGGTAGGAGAGAGAGCTTCAGAAATAAAAAGCAAACCTTAACAAGACTGGTCCCCACATCACTGGTCATACCCCCCTAGAAAGAGAGTTAATAGCAACTGTCTATTGACGGCTACCGGGCACGCTGGACACAGAAGTACAAATACAGAAACGCCTGATTAAGATGTCTTTCATTCTGTCGGTAAATGTACTCAATGAGGAGTCTAATCCACACGGCAGTGAAAGATGTTTGCACTCAGCTAATTGAATCTGAAGTTATTCTTAAGAGGGGGAGAGAATTGACAAGTTATACGGTGAAATTGTAAAGAGAAACAGCAAACGCTCTTTCAGCAAGTCAAAACAAATCCTCAGTTTCCTGGAGTCATGCAGCACATACTGTACAGCTCCGGAGAAGCGGAGTGTGCAAGTCATAAAAGAACCCCAGGCACTTCATTACTGGAAATGATGTAAGCTCCTGCCGCTCCTCTGCAGAAACGACAACAAAACAAGGCTCGGGCCCCTGCTGCCGCTGTCGGAGGCAGCTGCGCTGGCGCTGAATGTCGTGGCTGGCCGAGCCTTCCAAACGGCTGAAGCAGAACAAGGAGAGGGATTCCGCGCATCGGTTTTTCTCTGGGCGATTTCAAGAACCTGGCAACTTGTGACATGGCAACCTGAAGGATCCGCCGGCTTTTCAGGTGGCTACAGTATTTAAATGCCACGCTGCTTGAAAAACAAAACGAGTGCTCTCCGAGAAAAATGACAAAACCATGGTGCTCTCCTTGTGCAGCCAAGAGAGTCCGAGCATTCGGTTGGTGCGGGAAGAGCACGTCATGTTGCTTTCTGTCCCTGCGGGCAAAGGGGAAGCTCATCCATCCAGCTGTCCTGCAGCAAAGATGGACTGTCTTGTAGGAGGACTATGAGGGAGAAGATTATGGGATCATGGGATGAGTGAAAAAGATGGGGAAATCCTCGCTTCACGCACAGGGGACTTTCAAAGGGTTTTGCACATGAAAGTTAGTTTGATTCACATCAGGAAGTGCGTTTAAAGGGCTGTATAAATTCCCTGATAAATATGTTCTTGGACATGGATCAAGGAGCGAAGTTCTGTACAGAAACTGATCTGACTGGCGGGTCATGTCAAAGTAGTCCCGTTTTTCATTAAAACTGTTTGCACTTGGAGTTAATCAGAAATATAATTTTCTGAATAGCGAAGGTGTGTATGAACCATAAGTTTGTCACAATACAGAGAAGCTTTTCATAGTATTTTCCAGAGCACATATGCTGCTGGAGCAGGTATACATTCCTCTCTTAGGGCATACGCAAGGTTTAATTCAGAAACTAGTTAAGTCATGTGCAAGCATCCTCTGACTCCCAAAGCACCTTGAATCAGACCCATCGTTTCCAGCTGTATCAATCCACTCAGCAATGCTCTCCTTTTCGTTTTGATCTTTATTCTATTTCTGTGGCCTGCCTTCTGGTTACAGTTTAATCCCAAATACCCAGTGAAAAAGTACTTTCTCCATATTAAAAAAAAAAAAAAAAATATCCTGGTGTTTGCCCTCCTAGCCAGTATTTCCAAACAACTAGCTCATGGGACAGGAATTTGGAACAGGGAGTGTCAACCACCCAGTTCAGAAGGAAGTATAATGATAAAAAAAAAATAATCCCAGATTGCATAATAATAAAGGCTTGAATTTGAATGTTTCATTGTGAGAGCACTTCAGTTGTTTAAACATGCTCACTAGGGAGATGAGCCCTTGGGACCAAACATCAGCAAGCAAACACAGATTTTTAGCTCAGTGAATGGGTGCTCAGGAGAACCCCAAGGCGAATGAATATTTGTGAAGAGATCAAATTCATGCAGTGCTTTGAACAGTTCAAGTGATGAGATATGTAAGCAATATCTTTCTAATTTGGCAGTCACATATAAGCTTGGTTAACAAATACAAGAATAAATGAATGTGCAAATTTAAAGTTAATTAAAATAACAGTGGTTCTCTTGAGAAAAAGGACTAATTCCATAGTCTGAAAGGAGCAGCAAAGGACACAACTTGTGCACAACTAAGCATTAAGGTGCAAGGCAGGAATTTTTCCACCCCACACATTTAGACCTCAGTCTTTTGGTTTACAGTCTGTTGAACAGGTATGTTTACAGCAGTGCCCTTGCACCTCACACTACTGCCACATGGAACAACCAGACCTGAGCCTCACAACTGCAGCCCCCGAGCACCCCACACAGGGGTGCAGTGCTTGATTTGGCTTGTTAGAGTCAGAGCTGTCATTCTCTTTACCATGCACTTATTTCCTTGCTTGGTTGAGGTTTGGGGGAGGAGGGTAATGTGGTTTCAGATCTCGTATTATTGTTTTTACATGAAAAAAAATGGTATGAAAACAGCGCATGCATTTTCGTCATAAAAAACTATTTTCATATAGAATCATAGAATCACTAGGTTGGAAAAGACCTTAGAGATCATCCAGTCCAACCGTATCTGTCCACCACTAAACCATATCTCTCAGCACCTCATCCACCCGTCTCTTAAAAGATGGCTTCTGAGGATGCAGAGATTAACTATTAAAAAACTGAAATAAAGATTTTAATGAGAAGTTTTAAACTGCTCAAGGGAATAATACCAGAGTGAATTATAGATATCATTATCCCAAATGAGAACTACTGAAATTTCTGTACCACGACAGCTTCATGGTTCTGCCATGCTTTTTCCATACCCCCATCACCACAATGCTGCATACCTTACCTGACAAAAGCCTAAAATATGCGGGATTTGCAAACAGGCGT